ATAAAATAAAATACAATTTAAATTAAATCCGCACATATTTTACATTTTTTGTTGTTTGTCATATGATTTCGCAATATTTCATAATATTTCGTCACCATTATGGATTATTGCGAAATCATACGACAAACAGCAAAACATGTAAAATATGTGCGGATTTAATTTAAATTGTATTTTATTTTATTTCAAATTAATTTTTTTTTATTTTTTTCACTGTTTCGACATCAAAACAAGAATGAATATGACGGAGTGAATTTGAGCGCGAACAAATTTGAAATTTTTTCTTTCGCATTCTGCCGTTCTCCAGTACACCCGCTCTACCATTTCACACTCCCGCTCTACCATTTCACACTCCATGTTTTACATAGAAAAATTGACAGAATAACGCCTGATTCATAAGTTTTGGCACTTTTTGAAGTAGCTGTCATTTGAATAAAAAACAAGATATTCATTAACCGACTTTATAACGTGTTAGTTTTATTCATATTTTAAAGGAATTAACATTTAAGTACGCTCAGCGGACCATTATCTTCGATTTTTCTTAATGTTGGCCGAATACTTGCCATCATGGCCTGGACGACATTTTGATCGACTTCTTTCAATTTTCGATTGATTCTGTTAATCAACTGGCGCTCGGTTTTGGCTTCCCAGCCTCTATCGTACACCAAACGAGTCAGCAAAGCCCAAAAATTTTCGATCGGACGCGCTGCGGGCACGTTTGGCGGGTTGGCATCCTTCGGTACGACAGGTATGTTTTGGCCATTCAACCACGCTAACGTCTTCTTTGAGTAATGGCAACTTACTAAGTCCGGCCAAAAGATGTAATTTTCATTTGAATGATGCGCATCGATAAAATCTTTCAATTTGGGCAAGCAGTTGGCGATATAAACATCGGAATTGACTGCTGGACCTCCAATTGGCCGAATGTACGGCGCCGACAAACCTTTGTTCGAAATTGCCATCCAAACGAGAATTTTCGGCTCAAACTTCCCTTGACCGGCGAATCTCACGTCATCTGGTGTCGTACTAATGTCATCGGTGTAAAAATGATCATTACCACTCAGTGTGTGGTGTGCAAACGTGAAATATTTTTCGTCATCCAAAATGATGAATGTGTCTTTCTTGAAGTGTTTGACACGAAGAGCACGGCAACATTTTGAAATTCTTTCCAATTGATCGGCTGTATATTTTGGTGCCCGCTTACGTTGACGTTTGAAAACATTGTTCCTTTTCAGAATTCGATGAACGGTCGGCTGCGATACACCATATTTGCTGACCAAACGTCGTTGAGAGACACCAACCTTGTTTTTGGCACTTTTCAGTAGTTTTGTTGTTGTAGCTCGCGTCAAAGTGGTTGGACGACCACTTTTTTTTTTTTTCTTGTTCTTTGCCATCACGACAATCCTTCAAAACCAGAAATATGGTTCGGCGAGAAATTGGCTTGTCTTTGAACACGTTCAAAATTTGGTTGGTACTCAGTCGTCCAAATAAATTGGCGACACTCTTGCGCAGATCCAAATTATACGACATTGCTGATGCAAATGATTAAACCACGCTGGTTTCGACAGATAGCCAGAAGTACCGTTAATCACACAGAGTGTGCAATTTGACTTTATATCTGTCACAAGTGTCATAGTGGACAATCGAAATTAGTGCCAAAACTTATGAATCAGGCGTTATTGCCGGGTGGAAGTGCACTAATAAAAGAGGATGATGAAATATATATTGTGGCGATCATGGAAGAGGCTACCTATACCTTTATCTTTGCCTTTTCCTTGTAAACGGAATTATCTTTTAGGCATATTTGGCAAATACCCTGATTTAAAAAATTCTCCCTGATTTTCACCACATATATTTTTTAGTCGAAATTTTCCTCTTCCAAGAGTACTTTTGACTTCACCTTCGCCTACGCCTACTTCTTCGCTTCCATTCGGTTGAGTGGCAAATGCCAAATATGCCATGAAAATAATTCAGTTTACATTCGTACGGTCATAAAACTGGCAGAACATTTCAATCTGAATGTACTGATGACAAAACTTTGAATATTTTGAGCTGTTATAAATATTTGTTCTGAAAATGGATGGTTTTAACGACGAAGATTTCGACGATTCACTTTTCAACGAACCATTTACGAAGCGCGCTCGCATGGAAAAGGAATCAAAAAGTCGGTCACTGTCCCGATTGGAGGAAAGATATCCCGATTTAATAAACAACAATCAGAAACAAACAACAAGAAATGCTTTTGACATGGTGTCAAGTGGCCTGAGCAAAAATGGCAATCGAAAAAATACTTCTGCATCCACTTCCAACGGTTCACGTACCATGAATAGACAAATGATTCTCAATGAGAACCACTCGGATGTGGAAAATGAAGACAATGCGGGAAACGTATTGGTTTCAATAGGTTAATGTTATTGGTTACTGTTCTCACCAGGCATATAATTGTCCATTTGTCTATTGTTTCTTCAATGTTTGAATCAAATGTCGAAAAAATCCAATTTCATTTTAAATAGAAACTCAATCTGTTTCAAGTGGATTAAGTATTGACGAAATCGAACGGGATGTGAAAGAGGAAAAATTTTCGTTGCGTTTAAAAACTGGCGCTCAATAGACATCAGGGTACTGGTCAACATTTCGCGAAGTAGTTAACGCAGAGCAAAGAGTAATCGAAAGAGTGGTCTGTTGTTCACTGTGTAAAGTAGTATTTGAGTACAACACTCATAAAGGCACCAAACCCATAAGCAACCATTGGAAAAAGTGCCGTGGCACAAGAAATACGATGAAAAATTTCGTCGAAAAGCATCATGTTAAATTTTCTCAACAAGAAAAATTGGCAGTAGCCGTGGGCGCCGTTACGTTTTGTGCAAAAGATTGCCGACCGTTCTACGCAGTGTATGGAGAAGGTCTAATGGATCTCCTGGAAGAGGCTATATCAGCGTGCTCAAAACATGGTAAAATTTCACGCGAGTCGCTGAAATCACTTCTACCATGTCCAAACACGGTGAGATATGTTTTCAATTTCGATTTTTTGTAATTACTTTTTCGCACGCCCATGTCGTGAGTAAAAGTATTGTAATCACTCCAAAACCTAGGTATCCCAAAAAACCATTTTTCTATCCATTTTCGACACCAAAAAGCACGATACGGTGGTTATTTTGCTATGTTAATGTGGGTGTGTCGTACCCTGTACGCTCTGCGCTGTACGCTGTACGCAAAAATTTGTTAGCACGATTGCTCAAATACCAGAAAAGGAAATGAAATTCTGCAAGTACCAAACGTTTGTGCTTTGTTAGACTTGGAAACCATTAAATTTTCAGCCACCCCAGATGTACCCAAGGATACCTAGCCTATGAAAAACCTTAAAAAAATCGAACTTTTGTTCGGGAGGTACCCAAAATAGGCTCACCAGGTGGATTTTATCACTCGCACTCGATTTATTTCATCGAAATATTGGGGGCCGGGAACAACCTAGCACCCGCTAACCCACCTTTTTGGTATTAAATCGGTATGATAGTTCAAAATTCCTTGAAAAATCGAACTTTTGTTCGGGAGGTACCCAAAATAGGCTCCCAGGTGGATTTTATCACTCCCACTCAATTTATTTCATCAAAATAATAGGGGCCCAGGAACAACCTTGAACCCGCTAGCCCACCTTTTTTTTCGTATCCAATCGGTATTGAATAGTGATTCTGATAGCGAATGTGATAGCGCCTCTGAAGTGTCATTTATTCTCAACAATGTGGATTTTCCCATGTTGGAAGAGGATGGATTTTACTACGAAATCGAAGACTTGTGTGAAACTACAAAGAAAACAGATCTAGAATCAATCACAAACCAAATTGTAGGAACAGAATTCTTAAATGATTTGAAAATCGATATGTTCATTATAAATTTGGTGGACGCAAACAGAACCATACCATTCAACATGCATCCAGTCTGCTATGGACAAAAACAAGAGCGATACAAACGACTTCTAGCCGAACGAGACGATCTGCAAATAACATATCAGCGACCGGGCCAGCTTTCTTGGCCATTACACCACAGTTCACTATACAGTCTACACGGGGAGGGCAATCATGGCAAAAGATTGGACGTATATTAACGATACATCCTCACTCGCCTGTACCCCGGAGCACAGTATCAATTCATCGAACCGGCAACGTTGCAACCAGATGGATGTTCCCGTGGCATTTTCTCGATTGCATACGCCACAACCATCATTTTGGGACACAACCCCGCAACATACCATCTAAAAATTAATCATGACGAAACAGACAATTTGAAAAAGACCAGCGAACTACGAAACCACATCAAAAGAATATACGAAACAAATGAACTACGGCTGTTTCCACAATAAATAATACACACATTTTTGTTTTTGTTAAAGTGTTTGGATACTTGTTTTCAAGTGTTGCATCGCAATAATGACCAATTGATTTCGATTCGGTAACTTTTGTCTAATTTCATCAAAAAAGAAACAAAAAAAATCAGTTCATTCAACTTGCTTATTAAACATTTTGTCGAGATTGCTTATTATTTCCGTCCACATTTTTTGATTTAATTAAAATCAAAGTTCATTCTTCAAATATTTGACTGATTTGCAGTTCTTCGATTAAAGTTCAGTCTTTTCAATACTTGATTATTTTGCATTTTTGAAAGAGAGTTGAATAAAGTTTCAGTATTCAGACGACAATGAAGACAATCAGTCGTTTCATTTCATTTGAATACCCAACATCAAGATTCACGGAATCATAATACAATTTTCCATAAAATACATGAACGTACTGTTGTTTTTTTCTGAAAATTCTTATAAATTTGCTAGACAAAATCTGAATAAAAGCTGAACGCTACGAAAACGGTGCGGAAAAGTTCGTCTTACGGAGGTAAGACTATTTATGGTGGGATGATTTGGAAGAGATGATGTGATATTGTGGTGTTTCAGGCACTAAAAAATTATTTCAATACTCCAACTCATGGAAAACGAGAGGAAACGGAAAAAAAATTACACTTGGTCTGATTGTGCTGACCAAGTATAATATTTTTTCGTTTCATCTCATCTTCCAAGAATTCAAGTATGAACTAATATTTGAAATCCTAATTCCACAGGTTAGGGCTCATACACGAAAAATGTTCGTGGAAGAGAAGGAGAATTTAGCTGTTGAGTTAAAAGAAGCCTGTGCCCATTCAACAATTTGCATTTCCCTTGATATGTGGCTTGACAAAGTGCAAAAAATCAACTATCTTGGTATGAATGTGCACTATTTGGCCAAAGGAGAAAAAAACAACATCACCCTAAAATCCAAAGTGATGGCGTTGGTCGCATTCGATGCGGAAGAGGAAAAAACACCGGACAATTTGCACATATCGATCGTGCAAATATTATCAGAATATGATTTAATGGAAATCGTTGACCAAATCGTATTTGTAACCGATCGTGGTCAGAATGTCGTGGCGGCATTGAATAGTTACAGCAGACATAATTGCATCAACCACATGTGCAACAATATTGTCGAATATGTATCGGCCAACATCGAACAACTAACGCTGACAGTGTCGAGACTGGTAAAATACATGAAGGTGACTGGAATCAACACTAAAATTACGGACATAGGTGGGCGACGTCTCAAGTCATATGTTTCAACGCGTTGGAACACCACGTACGATATATTCGATTCGTTCATTGCGTCATATGCGCATTTCACTAAAATCGTGAAAAATCGAGCAGCAAAACGCCGCCTTGTGAGCATAAACATTCGTGAGTTGTGTGCAGTGCGCGACTATTTACAAGTCTTCAAACAACTAACGGTTGAAACTGGGGGAGAGAGTGACGTCATTTGTGTGTTGATCCTTCCATTCGTGGAAGAGGTAATCGAACACAACAAGCCCAATCCAAGAGACCACCCGACTGTTAAAACCATGCGAAAAAATGCTCATACCTACTTTGAAAGTAGAGTAGTTTGTGATCTTCCACAAGATTACATACTATACGCATTTTTCCATCCAAAGCGCAAGTCTCTGTCGATGTACAAAACCATAGACAAAAACGAATTCATCGACCGAATTGTCAGCATCATCTCCGGATATGATGCACCGATGAACAACAACACATCTGTTGACGAAGTGCCAAGCAACCTCGAAAAATCATCGATTTTTGATAGATTCAACGACGCCAATGGCAGTATTGATTCGATAAACGATGCAAGAGGCGAAGTTGAATCGTACTCTCACAACTCAGAGGAGGCGAACGAGAAAAAATGTGGTTTAAAACGTCAAATTACCCACTGTGTTTTCGCCATTGTAGGCAAAATGCCAATTCACCACCATTATATTAACAGTGTATGTAAAATGACATTTCGCCTACAATTTTAATACAATGGAGGCAAACTGACATTTT